CTTGTTTGAGCCTCCACTCAAGAGTCTGGTCAGTATTCCACTGGTCACCTGTAGTAGAAAAGGCATCTTTCACATCCATCCATGAGAGGATTCCTTAAGCACTGAAATTACTAAGAATTACTAAGATGAGATGGAATGAATGCATTAACAGTAGTATATGAGTTAAGGAAAGTTTCTCACTATACTCCACAAATGTCGTGGTGGTTAATTATTTGAAAATCAGTCCTCCCCTCCCACCACTGAGTGTGCTATAAAGCAGCCTCCTTTTCCAGTTCTCCTCTGCCTCGTGCCCTCCTCATCTTCCCAGCATCCTCAGCCTGCAGTCACAACCATCCACTGCTTGGCTGCTCAGTGAGCCTTCAGAGAGAAGGAGGAGCATGGACTGAACAGTCTTTCTGTGGCTGCCATGGATGGCCTTGCACAAAGAGGTAAGAGTCCTTCATTCTTTGGCCATTGCTAGCCCAGCACAGCCACTCTCTGGTTTCCTGTGGAGAGCAGAAATAGCACAGGGCTCTGAACCCACCGGAATGCAGGGCTTCAGGAAAAGCATAGCTCTGGCTCAATCTACTCCTAAAGTAAGGTTCAGGAAGAAGCCACCTCCAGCTCCTCCAAGGCCAGCTTGATGAGCCTCCACATCCCCCCCTCCATGATGGTTTCAACTTGACAGCTCCTAATAAACCAAACTTTAAGAAGCAGCCCCTGGAGAGCCTGTGGAAGATAATTAATGCTCTAATGAAGAGCATGACTGCCTTGTTTGCTCGACAGCTCCCAGGTCAATCAATCTGCTGTAGACTGGCTTGCAAAAAAGCAGTGAGGAGCCCAGCACCCCTGGCTTCTGCTCAGTTATCATCCCCTGCCAGCCCTCCTCCCATGTTCATTACTGTCAAAATCCCAGCAGCAAGAGGACAGATTTATAGAGGCGATTGCAGCTTCTCCCTGAGCGCCCGATCCAGATTTAGCAATGAAGGAACAGGACAAGCGACAATGCAAGGATGGAGGGTTGGGAAGCTGTATGAGTATGAAAGGGGTGAGAAGGGTGGGGTGTTGTGTGAAAGCCCTGCTTTCTTACTCTGCTGTTGCCAGATACACTCTCCAGCACTCAGACCCCAGGACTTTGCTGAATCACCCCCTCATCTGTGCTGCAGAGGAGCGATAAGTGCAGTAACACACACAATGACAATGGCAATTTAATACACCAGCACAAATGTGCCCCAAGCTTCCTTGCCAAAAGAGAGAGCACTCTGTAGACACCCCAGATTGCAGCACAGCCCCCGTGGTGCACTGTCTGCTGCCCTTGTCTGAGTCCTGCCCACCACACAGGCATTGCTCCCAGACAGTGCCCGCTGTCTCATCCCTGGACACCTGGCAGGGAGAAGCAAGATCCAAGGGGGAGATGGGAACAGAGCCTGCCTGACAGCCCTTGGGTCTTCCCCTTGACCTGTCTGAACCTACCACCTTCCTCCCTCAGGCAGGACCCAGCACTGTTTCCCCTCCACGCTGTGCAAGAAAGGGGGTAGGGAACAATGAGGTCAGCTGGCATCTCAGTGTGACACTGAGAGCTCAGCCTGAATCCAAATGCTTCCAGGGACACTTGGATTCAAAAGGAACCACCTGCTTCCTCTAAAAGGTACCTCTGCTTCCCCTAAAACCCAAGGAAACCCTAAGTGCCAGGGAGCCACCACACATGTCCTTTCCAAGGACAGGACACAGCTAATCCTGACAGATCTCTCAAATATCAGCCCACTAAGCCTTGCATGCTGGCTGCTCTTCTCAACCTGGAAAGGGGCAAGGCAAAGGGCAAAGCAATGTCTCTAGATGGGAAAATGGTGGTGAACCCTCAGGGGAAAGGGACGATGGCCTTGGGGATGACAGACACAAATTTTCAGAGGCAGGCCAGATACTGCAGCAGAAGGGGAGCCCCAAACACAAAAGAAATCTCCACTCCTGCACTCAAGGCTCACTTCTAGTTCAACTGCACTACTGTGCATGGTCTCCTGCCAGCTTTGGTTTCAGGGAAGCAGCTGGTGTGAACTGAGATGTACTTTTATTATTCTTCCCCTTCTGCTGAAACATGAGCTCACCAAGAAAGAAACAACAGGCATCTTGAGAGATGGAAGTAAAAAGAACACTGCATTGTAGGGAAATGAAATAGCCACAGGCTGTCCAGCAAGTCTGGTTTCCAGCCATGTCTAACAGCCCCTCACACCAGTCTGGATTTCTGCCCCAGCCTACAGAAATTAAAACTCAGCAGTGGCCCTAAAGCAGTGCAGATCTCTGTCCCTGTAAAGCACACATGAGCTCTCAACCCAAGGTTTGCAAGCTTGCATGACACTGAGCAGCAGGACAGGAAAGGGAGGTTTGGATCCCAGTGCTACTGCTGGTGAACTTACATGATACCTATAACCTATAACTTCTCACACGCACAGCCAGCACCTTTTATGGGGAATTTCCTCACACTGCCAGTCTTTAGAACAAAAAGATCCCAAGGGATCACAAATGTCAGTCTCAAAGGCCAAATCTGGCTCAGATGCCACAGAGGAGACTTGTGCCATCGTGCCTGCAGACCTTGTACTCAGAGCTGGGTTAATGCTGCCATTGCCTGCCTTCCTTGCTCCCTCCTTCAGCCCCTACATGTTTCATCTCTCAAAATACTGCTCATTTCTTCGCAGATTTCACAAAGCAAGGATACCACGACTAATCTACCTTTCTCTCCTCAACACAGTTCAAAGGCTGGTATACTGATTTCCATGTCTGCACCTGGAACCTGTCAAACAGAAAGGTCACTCAAACAGGGAGCAGGGATCTGAGCGGGAACTAGAATCCCCACATTAGCTTACAGCCTAGAAACACATGCTGGCTCCATTTGCCAAAAGATCTCCTGGTAACTCTTCTTTATGGTGTCCCTTAGTGGACTGGTAGTGGAGATAGGTCACCCCAAGCCTATGGGTGAAGGCAGACAGCCACGCCTAATGGCAAAGGAAAGGCTAGGACTGAGACACCAAAGAGCAGCCTGAAGTTATCTCAGATTAAGGTGACTGTAGTGGAACAGAAGTAGACAGACAGCTCTCTCAGCTATTTAATCATTCCAGGGTCCAGAATAACCCTTTTTGGAGAAGCCTTGGACATTTATCTAAAAACCAGCACCCACTTCATCAGCACAGGTTTGACTGGGAGGGCTTTAGGACATTCACTCAGAAGTGTCTGGGGAAGGTGTCTCCCAGATCATCCTGGATCCTCTCTGGAGATCATCCAGCCAAAGACCCAGGAATGACACAATACAACCCTCTGCCACCTGCAAAACCAGAGAGGACCAGAACAGTCCCTGGTATGACAGCCAACATTTAATTCATGGAGAACATCAGCTGCCCACTCCAGGAGGCTGCCTGGGACATGGTAACAAAACACAGAGAGGGTGCAGCCATGGTGCTGGGAGAGCTCTGAGGAGTCCCTCTTCCCTTCCATCCCCACTTGTGAGCCATAAAGCCTCAAACATTATGCAGGGCTCACTGAACTGACAGCTATGATTTTTTTTTGCAGTTGTTTGCTGAGCAACAAGGAGACAGGGAGAGGTGAAAACCATGGAGACCTGGACAACTTATTCTGTTCAGGTATCACTTGAGTCTTAGTGCTCCAGTAAAGAACAACAGGCTGCCAGAGCATGGTTTAACTGAGCTGCCTGCCACCCTGAGCTGTGACACACAGGCTCTCTTCCTGAAGCTGTTATCAAGGATTTCTCTTTCCCTCTCTGTCTCACACACAGATATGCATGCATAGGGCTGTGAAGAAGCATGTTACTCCGGGGACCACATCCATTCAACACTGCTTCCTAAGGAAGTAAGCTAAAATGATGAACATCACCAACTCGACCTTGCAAGCAGTAAAACATGTATTACAAGGCAGCATAATCAAGATAAATGGAGAAGATTAACCTGAAGATGAGGGCAAGGGAGAGAGAGGGAAGAAAAATTATGGAGAGCTCATGAGGTGGCTCGAGCTCACAGCATCCCCTGAGTTGTCTAAAGACAGGGTTGGGGAAGGTGGAAGGAGTATGAAGAGGGGAAGGTGGAGGGATTATGAAGAGGGATACTGATGGGAAAAACATAAAGTCCAACCAGCAGAGACCCTAGGAAGGAGTCCTTCTGCACAGGAACACAAGAGGAGAACTCACATGCAGCAAAGACCTGAGCCAACCATCCTGAAGGTGTTAAAAGCCTCACTCCAAACACCAACTTCATCCCTAAGGCCAAGACAGCAATACACCATTCAGCTCAACAACAGCCCACAGCTACCATGGCCACATATGTTTGCACTTTTCATGCACAACAGGAACACCACCAAAATATCAGTGACAAGGCCTACAGAAGGCCCCTCACTCTCTCCAGTGACTGTACAGGGACAGCACCTTGCAGGTTTTCTGACTGCCCCTGCCACGCCAGGTGCCTGTTGCATATCTGCTGCACACTCTGTGCGGGCACCCATGGCTGTGGAGACTTTCAGCCAAAAGGGGTCAATTTCTGCTGAGGGTGAAAATCAGGCTCTTTGACCACGACCTGTTTTTGAAGGTGCTTCCATCAGAATGAGAACTGCACCCAGTTATTAGACCAGAGCTGCAGCACCCCACCAATGGTGCATGTGCAGCTTTGGTGGGAACACATCCTCTCTTTGATCCTGTTTGCCCCATTCTTCTTCTCTCTTTTCCGAGAATGACACGGTAAATGGAGGTGGCAACCAGAAAACCACCTCTGTCTCACAGGAACACTCCAGACACTGGACTGAGCTCAGCCACCTCACTTTCCAGAGGAAAACCCCAGGACAGTATACAACAGGCAGAGAGGATCCGCTTCCCCAGAGGTGGACAAAGGAGCTCCAACATAATCAGTCGAAGAGCTAGCTACAAGTGAGAAACATCACCCACTGCCAGAAGAGCAGTCCTAACTCAAGGGAAGCCTCTGCAGCACTAGCACATCCCCCAACCCCCTCCACACACCCCTGGCACTCACCTGGCCGCAGCACCCTGATTTCCAGCAGGTTGGAGGTCCTGTCCGCCAGCCTCGTCCAGCTGCTGTTGTAGTTCTTCCTCCAGAGCTCGGCCACGCACTGGTACTTGCCGGCCTCGGTGTCGCTGGCCCTGCTGATGCTCAGGCGCACGTTGTTGCTGGACTCGGCCTTCTCGATGGCGGTGCGCGTCCGGAAGGCCGCGGCCCTGTCGCCCCACTGGACGCCGCCGTCGCGCGTGAAGGTGACCAGGTCGTGGAACTCGGTGCTGCCCGCCGGCTGGAAGCGCCACGTCACCGACACCGGCACCCACGACGGGTAGTGGGGCTTGATGATGCACTGCAGGTCGAAGGACTCGTTGTAGGTCACGCCCGGGGTGCGGGAGATGGCGGTGACAGCAAACCCGGCCTCTGTGGGAAGAGAGGAGAGGGCTCTGAGACACCTGCCTGAGGGGGCCCTGCTGTCAGCATGCAAAAGCCAGCGTGGTCATCCAGTGGTGCCGTCAGCCACCCGAGCTGTGTCAGCTTCTCATTTGTATGGCCAAGTGAGGTGAAAAGCAGAGGCAAAAACACACAAGTGGTGACGGCCTGAGCAGCAGTGACTGCCTGAGTGAGCACGGGCTGCAGCCATAGCAGGACTGTCCTTGATTTCTGCCCAGAGGAGTGAGATCCCCTGAGACACAGCCTCTGCAGGCTGCCAAAACCCTGTATGGACACGAAGCAGCACAATGGTGAGGGAAAGCACCTGGCAGAGCAGCTACTCAGCACCAGCCCCCTGTGATTCGCATCCACCTCTCGGGCAGGGGGTCACACCCTGTCCCCCAACCCAGGTCTGTGTCTGGCTGCTGCAGCTGGAGAAAGAATGAGGAAAGCAAGAAGCAGCAACCTTCAAAACATGCATTATAGAGGTGACAGTGGTTACAAAACCCCAGGATTGAGGCAAACTGAAAGAGAAGCTGGTTGCTCCTGTTCTTCACACAGCACAGCTTTTGTTCTCTTCCAGATCACAACTCCAGGACAGCTGTATGCAGTTATTCTCTCGTGTCTGCCACTCTGTAAGCTGGTCAATACACTTTGACTCGTCTATCCCCAGCACTCTGTTTGTTTAGAGGAGTTGAAATCAGCAGTCTATTAGTAATTAAAAGGTAACATATTCCAGTTAGCCAGTCAGGCTTACATATTCAGGCAGAGTATTTCCATTGCTCATTTGAACCAAGCTTCAGGGAGAAACATTTTCTTCTCTTCCAATCACTTCAGCGTGGCCAGCAGACTCAGCAGGGACCTTGTTTTCTCCTGCCAATGTCCCCAGAAAGTGCTCCCCTCCTCAGAGGCTCCATGGGGTGCCTCACATGGGCTGACAAGTCTCCCTCTCCCTGCAGTGCTGACCACCCAAGCTCCCAGTGGAGCTGCCACTGCTTGAGGAGACCCCAGACGGTGCACAGTCAAAAAAGGAACATCTTCTGGATCAGCATGGAGCTTCAGCCTGCCACTGGCTCGAAAAGATGAGCCAGGAGCTCCCTGCTGCTGCAGGCAGACCAGGCACAGCATGGAGCCCACCAAATCTGCTCACTTCCAGCAAGTGCCTCTGCAACCCCACGGCGTCACCGTGCCAGAGCTCTGCAATGTGTAATTACTGAGAAAACAGGTCAATCTTCAGGATTAAAGCCTCTCACAGCATGTCCAGTGATTACCCAGGAGACCCAGGCTGCCTCCCCTGCAGAGCTCTTGTCTCTCAGCCCCACGTAAGCCCTCACCTTCAGACCCCGCAGCAGCCCTCCTGCCCCAGTAAGTGTGTTAGCAGACCCAGCTCAGAGAAACCCTGAGCCAGAGAACGCCCAGGAAAGCCAACTTAATTTCACCAACACCAGCTGATTTCATCAAGTTTAGTCTCCAGTTGGCCTGGGCAAGCAAGCTTTATGAAGTCATGCAGAAGCCAGGTGTGTTTCTCAGGTCTTCAACTCCGTCAACATGGTCATGGCACTTACGTTAACAAACAAAAGCCCTTCCTCTTTTAGGACTTGGTCCAAAAAGCATAAAAGTGGATTGGTTTTCTGTAAAACCTCCCTACAAAAATACACCACTCCCTCACCCCCCCCTTCTGTGGCCAGACTGGGATAAGTCTGTGCCACGCACTCAAGAGCCTCGGAAGTTCAGGAACATCTGGTCTCTTCTGCCAGCACATCTCTGTCCTCTGGCTCTTGCTTCTGAACCACCCAGTGGTTAGATTTGTGGGTTTGAACATCATCAGCTGAAGAGTTTCTTACCCCGGCAGGCTGGCAAACAATGAGACCTTAACTTGAAATGTGTCACTAAATTTACTGCATTTTTTTTAGAACAGCAGTTTCTGAGGCAATAAACCTCACTTGCTTTTTCTTAGTACCCTGAATTTGGGCTTCTCAGGACATTTCAAAAACATCAAGCTGAACAAAAAAAAACCCCAACAGATTTAGCAGCAAAACAACACTCACTAGTTTCTCTACTATATTTTTATAAGGTACTTCAGCTTTGCTAGTTAAAGAGACCTAGGAATTTCTTCGGACCAGACAGAACATGCTCAACAGCTGGTGACTCAGGTGGGACAACCTTTCCATCACATCTTCTGGAACTGCTGTGCACTTCTGAGCATCTTAAATTTTAACAAGAGCAAAAGTGACATATTTTAAAATCTCAGTGGTTAATCTCAAGACTTTTACAAGTGGCAGAGTAAAGGGAAGGGCTGACACTTGGGACTTGTAGCAGGCCAAATGCTGCTGACCTCATGAGGAAGACACCATTGAAACTAGATGAGAATCTTGCTTTAGTACTTTACAAAAGAACATCCCTACCTGCTTTTGGCAGCTATACAGAAAAGATTTCTAACTCCAGCCAAAACAGCCTCTGAAAGGAGGTCAAAAGTAAAGGAGAGGAAAGGAGGAAAAAAGCAAGATTTTCATCAGAATACAATAGGACTTTGAAGTCTGGTCTCACACACATCTTGTCAAGGCTTAATACTTCAGAGTACCAGTAAGATCCACACAATCCCCACCCTCCTGCCAGAATTTCCATCTTAACCTTTCAATACAGCTCCCTGATTGTCTTAATCTTGGCATTCTGAAAATCAGTGGTCTCACATAAGCAGTCATCCCATCTTCAGCCTTCTGCAGATCCCTTTTGGAACCAGCCCAGGAGGACCAAAGTAACTCACAATCCACGCACAATGTCAAACTCCCTACCTGCCCTCTCCTAAACTGATGTGTTTCACTGTGTTGGAACAGAGGAGCCTCTTGGCAGAGCAGAGTACCAGCAGCAATGATCCCAGGTACTGGTTTACTTTGGTCATGGACAACATTGTGGTTCTGGGCCAGCAGCTCAGTGCCTCCCTGCAGAGGCAGCGAGGACCATTCCTGACTCACGCTTTCTGTCAGAGATGCCCACCATTTCTGCTTTTTGGGCCAACAGATGCCCAGCATTCTGCACTCCTCATCTGGTGTGGGCAGAAGTAAGGTTTACCCAGGGCAGGCAAGGAGTTTTGATGTCCATGGGCTGCCAATGGAGCACCACCACTGCACTGACCAAAACACAGCTCCAGTACTGGTAGGACACATCATAGGACTGGCAGCCTCTCTGCTCTGAAGGACACTGGAAGCCCTATCCCTCTCCTCAGCCATTCCATGCTCTGCTTCTGCTACAGCCACCCCTCAGACTTTGCCCCAACACACAAGGGCGCATGCATGTTTTGCACCACCCTACGAGGAGCTGTGGGCAGGCTGCTGGGTGCCTCCATTTTGCCGGCAAGCAAAGACAGGAGCACTGAGAACATCCTCAGTGATCTGCAGGTGACCTCCTGGGGGACGGCCAGGCACGTGGGGGACCGCGGCCCCAGGGCCCCCCAGGCCTCAAGTACTCACCCAGAGCAGTGATGGACACCGGGGTGCTCGTGTGCCGCTCCCCAACCATCTGCCACTCCCCATCCAGCGTCCGCGTCCACTCGGCCACCCGGCACTCATAGTGGCCCTCATCCGCCTTGACGCTGTTGAAGATCTCCAGGGTGAAGGAGCCGGGCCGCACCTGCTCCACCTGGATGCCCCCGTAGCTGCTGCGCTCCGCGTAGGTGGGGCCGGGGTGCAGGGTGCCCTCCCGGTCCAGACGCACGATCTCGCTGCGCCGGTTCAGCTTGTCCACCAGCTGCCAGGCCACCGAGAGGCGGCTCTGGGGCCCCAAGCCCGAGCGCACGTTGCAGCCAAAGCGCAGGCTCTCTCCCTCCAAGACATTGGTGGCGTTGTTGATTATCTCCAAGGAGATGCTGGTCTCTAAGGAGAGAAACGCATACACACAGGGGAGATGATACACACTCGCCACTGCTGGGGCTGCAAGAAGGACGCTGCTGGCCAGAGACGCTTTCCACCAGGTGCAGGAAACTGCCCACGCATTTGGGTCCAGGCACGTCTTAACCTCATGCGTGACCACATCCAAAAACAGCTGGTGGGCAGCGAGCTGCTCCTGGTGACTTGCACACTCAAGGCAGGTGTAGGCCAAAGCTCGGAGAAATCTATGCCTACAGCTCAGGAGACATGGCCACGTCTTCTGGTCACCGGTCCGGGATGGGATCTTGGCAAAACTTGAGGGAATTTCTGTTGCTACAGTATGCACTGTGTGCAACTGGCTCTGCCAAAAAAAAAGCAGCTTCCAGCACCCTGTGGCTTTTCCAATTCTTGTCATCCTGATCACCATCTTGCCACATCCATTCCTACCAACACCTTTTGGGAGAAGCTCTCCCAGACTCCCACTGATAGTGACATTATAGGTAGCTATCACTGTTTGGTAATGTTCAAAAAAAAAATAAATCTGGCATCTTGAGCTTCCCAGAGGTGTAAGGCTTTGTGGCTGTTTTTTCAGAGATACTGAGTCCTGGTTACTCCTGCTGCCTTCCATCACAGTTATGGACACTTAGCACCCTTAAAAAAATCATCACATTTGCTCCTACAGCTGGTGATTTATCAAAGGCAAGAATCAAATCTGTCTGAAAGGTGGCTGGGTCTAGAAACAATACATTTTAGAAATTTGTCCAGTGCAAGATTTCTAGCTAGAGTGATTTTTAAAACCAAACAAATGAGACCAAATATTGGTAGGACAGAAAAGAAATAGAGTTTCTTTTGGAGAAATGAGGAGGGAAAAAAAAAGCTAGAGGAAAGGGCTGCATTTCCCTACAAATCTTGGAGGTAGGAGGCCAATAAAGCACAAAATCCTCTTGCAGCTACCCTCTGCTTGGTCCAAGTCCACTGCCATGGTAGCTTGGGCAACCCATGCAAGGTTCACCATGCCACGGCCACCAGAATTCAGAGAGCAAAACAAGGAATGAGTCAGTGGAGTCTCTCCTCTCAACCCGTTATTTCCATATTTACCACATTTATCTCACAAATATAAAAGACATTCAAGGCAAGCCTCCAGCTGTTTTCACCAGAGCTGGCTGACACACAGTGATCAGGATGGAGCTCCATGCCGAAGAGCACAGCGGCTCAAGGAGCACACCTGGTTTCTTCCAGCATAGCTGTCTTGCAAGACAGCTGAATCACCATCACATAACAGCCTGCAGGAACCTAGCAGGTCCTAGGATAAACCAAGGCCAAGCTGATCTTCCCACTGTGCCTGCTGGGCACTTTACAGAGCACCCAGGTCCCTGCAGAGCAAGGCCAGGAGCGAGACGTGAGGAGCAAGTCACAGGCTGTCACATGTACCTTCAGCTCAAGAACGGAAGTGCCAGCTTGGTGTCATTACAAGGTGGGGGCATGACTCCCCACCTATCAACCTGACACACACCCCTCCTTTTCATCCCCTCCCCAACAACAGAAATACATCTTGCCAGTAGGGATTCCAAGCCCAAACAGCATGTGAACCCTTTTCCTGACGGGATGGACACGCCCCTACTTACTGAGTGGCATGACAGTGATGGGGATGTTCTTGGGCCGCTTGCTCTCCTTGTCAATGAAGTCTCCCGTCACGGTCTTCTCCCGCTCGGTCACCCGGCAGTTGTACTTGCCGCTGTCCTCCAGGCGCAGGCGGTAGATCTTCAGCACGAAAACGTTGTCGCTTTCTTTGGCCACCTTGAGCTGGCCCAGGGCCTCGCGCTGGGCAAACTCGTTGTTGAGCACCGGCACAGCGTTGGGTCCCAGGCTGGCGATGAGGGAGCTGTTGAAGGCCCAGGAGATGGAGAAGTAGCGGTCGGGGACGTTCTGCGCCTCCAGGATGCAGCGGAACTCCACCGGCTCGCCCACGATGTACATCCGCTTCTCCGTCTCCAGCCGGACGCTGAACTCCTTGTCTGGGGAGAGAGACTCGTGTCAGGATGGCAAAGCCCACCAGGGCAGCCAGCATACCTCATGTCAGGTGTTCACAACATGCTACTCCCTGCATAGCCAATAGCCCTCAGACAAGCACACCCAGAGGTAAAAAGGTAAGGGACTTGATTTTGCTGTGGGAGACCAGATGGGCTGTGCTCCCACTGAGCCTCCTTCTTGCCCATCAAGCAAAGGTTTCCTCAGTCCTACGCCCACCCTGCTCAGCCAGAGTCCAAGAGGCAGAACCTTTGGGGATATCCCAGAGGAACAAAGAGCTCAGCTGCATCTTTAGATCCTTAGCAGGAATCTGTGCAGGGGGCTAGGAGAAGAATTTTGACTTGTAAACAGACCTTGTGTGATACAAAAGCACCTGACGAAATTTTTAGTTTTATTCCCTGCTGTATCACTCTTGCCTCCTAACTTACTAAAATCCTCACTGTCTGTGCCAGCACCAAGTGCTTGAGAAGTATGTTTTAGTTTCTGTGCCAGCCCCAGATCCCTGACCACATCAGGAGACAGGGCCTGTCACCAAACCCCCTTGCTGCCCTTTGCTGACACTTCCCTTGGCTGCAGGCAGTGCCTGAGCCCTCCTTTGCCCTGTTTCACCCTGCCAGCAGCCCCCCAGGTGGGGCACATGGCAAAGCAGGGAGCTGAACCCCAGCCACCTAACACGGCACAGCCCCATTTTCCATCTCCTCCCACTGCCCAGCCCAGGGAGAAGGGGCAGAGGAGACACTGACCAGTGGCTTGCACGTTGACGATGGCACCCTGGGAGCGCTTGCGGGTCATGGCATACCAAGAATCGTCCGGGTCCTGGATCCACTCCGCTGCCTCACAGTAAAACTCGCCCTGGTCTGAGGGGTGGAGGTTGTAGATGGTGAGTTTGGAGGTGGTCTCCCCAACCTTGTCCAAGCGCACGTCCCCCGTGGCCTGGCGCTGGGCGTAGGCGCTGCCGGCCCGCAGGACGAAGTCGCGGCTGAGGGAGATGATCTCGACGGGCGCCTCGCTGCCACGCTGCCGGTACCACGCGATGGAGACGTGGCTGTGCTGGGCTGTGCTCTTGGACACCTCGCACTTCAGCTCCAGGGAGTCGTGCTCCACCTTGTTCAGCGTCTGCGGGATCGCTGTCACCCGCAGCGAGTCCGGGATCACTGCAGCAGAGCAGGACACAAACAGCCCAGAGTTAGCAAGGCCAAAATGCTGAGGGTAAAGGCCAAACACCTTAAGAGAGCTGGGGGGAAGTTTCTTTTCACAGTTGCAATTAAACATTAAGAATTAGCAAGGCTGTGTTAACTCACATTTAGCCCCTAGTAAGAAGAGAATCGTCCCCAAAGCCCTTGGCTGGGAAAGACCATGACCTGCAGCACAAACTCCAGGCGTGGTGCTTAAATTCTTGCTCAGTGGACCCCAGCAACTGAACAAGGTTTTCCACTACGCTGCAGAGCAGCACAGTTTATTGCATCCATTTCCCAACAGGGCATTTTGTCACCAGGAGCCTCTCCTCCATCATGTGTCCCCCAGCATGTTCTGTGACACCCCTCTTGCCCACATCCTTCAGCCACTCCTCACCCCTGGCATGGTCTTCACTCCTCCTCAGTCACTGGTGGGGCCAAGCCAAACATATTCAGTTCCTTTAACCTTCCTTTATAAAAAAGTCAGGAGATCCAATTGCCTTCTGCATAGTTTATATTGTTTCCTCTTTTAATGACCCCCTCAGGCCAAAGGAAGGGATTTCTGCATTCAGAGGGAACTGGCTCCTCTAAGGGAAGCAATACAATTGCATCCTGACCAGTGCTGACTCCCAGGACACAGTCACCTCAAGGCACTTGGTAGTAAAACTGCTGGCTACTTTTCCACTTGATTAACCAGAGGCAAAGAAGTATAGCTGCTAAAATCAGGATGAAAACCAAAAACTGCAGCCCTTCAACCTTGCTGGGATTTAAAGAGAGGTTTTACCACCAGAAGATGAAACTTTAATAAAGAAGCCTTTCTAGACTTTGCTGGCTCAAGGAACATCATGTGGAAAGAAGAATGTAAACCTTCTCCCCAGCTCTGCAGGCAAGGCAGTGTTAGTGAGCCTGTTAATGCCCACGGTTTTGCCACATACCAGTGGAATATAATTAACATATCTCAGTTTGGTTTCATTGACAGCTCTGGATGGTTTGACAAAATTAGCTGAGCTGCCAGAAGCTGCATCTGTTTCATTCAGGCACTGCTACAGAGAGCAATGAGCTGCAGTGAAGACAACCACTGGGATTATTTATGGCAGAAAAGTCAAAATCAGAAGAGGGCAAAGAAAAAAGGGAACAAGTTGGGAGTAAATGAGAGGGAAATCTTCCCACATCCAGTCCAGATGGGAGCATTTTCTTTTACTACACGTTCACCACCCAAGTTACTGCCTGACAGGAAAAATACTTTGTAAGGCCGGCTGCACTGCAGGTCATTGTCTCTGTCCCTGCCACTACCACGTCTTCTACTCCCTCCCTTTCCCTCATCCCTCTCACTGGAATCCCCATGCCCTGCTCGTTTGCAATAGTTTCTGGCCAAGATCCTTCTTACTTCACCTTTTCTCTTATCCTGACTCCCAAACAGTGGTGACAGCAATAACTAACCTTGCCAGTTCACGATGCCTGCACAACAAGCTTTAAACTTCTCATTTCAAACCTTACTGAGTAATTGTCACAGATGCACAGCTCCTTTCTCTTTGCCCTCCAGCCATGGGCTCTTACAACTTCTCCTATGTTATTTAAATAAATTAAGCCTCATCATCATCTTGCTGGAGTGACTTTCCTGAGGAGATGCTTTGAATGCAGAGTCTGTGCAACAGCTTATGGGATGAAAGCAGGCACATGTGAAGGAAATGTGCCTCCTCTCTCCCCTGGTCTGAGAGCCCTGTGTACCCCACCAGTTCCCTGTGTGCCCCCCAGCCTTGCTCAGCAGCACAGCTGCTCTCTGGGTAAGCACAGGGAGCTGCTGACACCAGGAGCCTGTCTGGCTTTGCAGGACAAGCCAGGTCATGCTCTAAGAGGGGACAGACACTTGGCCTGCCAGACATGGAGCTGCCCACTTCCCGGGAGTAATACAATGGGAAGCCTGTCTGAAGGCTGGGTCTCAGGCAAGCACTTGCCACACCATTTCCTGAGCAGGCTGGAGGCTAGCACAGACATCATTTTGCCAGCTGGAACCATGACTTCGTATTTCCAGGTCATAACCCAGCTGGAGGGTTAGCATCCTTTATCCCACATAGGCAAGTTTTTGCAAAGTGCACTCCTGGAGAAAAATCAGGAGGTGTCAGCGTGTGGTTAACACTGTAATTTAACTGTGGTAACACCTGACACATTGTGCTGCATTCCTCCTGCTACTTTACTTAAAAAAGCCAAACAAAATCCTCCTGGTTAGAAGAACTGGTCCAATCTTTTGGGCTGCACACAGCCTTCAGGCTGTTGTCTTACATCAGCATGGCAGGGACATATATTCAGTCAGTGCCACCTTCCTAACCAGGAGGACTTGACACTTGTTTGATAAATGAAAACCCAGTTTTCCAAGGATCAGATGATCAGAGAGGAACAAGCCAGAGCCCTCAGGGGGCTGGGACAGTGGGGAGGCTCTGTGCTTCACACCATCACTCTCATTCTTGGCCAGTGATACACAAACAGCTGTTTTATTTACACTGTAAGATGTGCCTTGGTGCTGTGTTCAGCCAGAGGGAAGCTGGTAGGAGAAGAGAAAATGCAATTCCCAAGGCACAGACCCCACTGGCTTGCACCAACAAGGGGTAACTGAGAGGGGACCTCATCCAAGTGTCTGAAGGGCAGGTGTCAAGGTGGTGCTGAGCAGTAGGAGGAGAGAAACATGAGGAAACACTCATTTTCTGTGAGGATGACAAGAGCACTGAAGCAGACTGCCCAGGCTGTGGAGGGTCCTTCTCTGGAGATACTCAAAAGCCTTCTGAACTCAATCCTGAGTAATGTGCTTTGGGGACCCTGCTCAAGCAAGGAGATTGAAGAGACAATCTTCACTGGTCCCTACCAATCTCACCCATTCTGTGACTCCATGTGACAAGAGAGCTACAGGCATGGCTTAACCCATCAGGCTGGAGCAGACTAGGGCTGAAAGTCACACAGAAAAAAGGGAGCACCACAAGGTGCTCACTAGGGCAGGACAGAGCATGCAGGATGTGCATTCTCGGAAGAGAAGTTCCTCCCAAGCCTGTCACCCCGCTCAGGTGTCACAGACATCAGCTTGCATATCAGGACACGAGTGAGTCTTAGCACAGAGCTCACCTGGGAGCCCTGGCTCTGCTGCCAGCCACCCACACTCATCCTGCAGCCACCTGCCACAGCAAGCACCAGGGCTTCTGGGGACATTCTGCAAGCTGAGCTCCACTTGAAAGCAAGGACAAGCTTAGATGAGAGTCACCTCCCTGTATGAAAGGGAGCAGAGCCACACCTGAATCAGAGCCAAGTGGGATGCTGCACGACACATCCTTTTGCTCCTTTCTCACCCAGCTCCTGCCTGTTTCTCCTCTCTTCTCAATGTGCCATCCGGGCAGCCTTCTCTCCACTGCCCCCAACATCCAGCCTTGCTTCCTCCATGTCCCCAAACACAAGTCCATCCCTCTGCAGGTGTCAGTAGAACTCCCTTCTCTCCAGCATCAAGGTTAGGTTTGGCAGCAAGCAGCTGGACAAGGAGAGGAGTGGCTGAAAAGCACTGGCAGCAAATCTACTGAGCTATCATCCCTGAGCCAGTCACAGCTGACAGTTCCGAGCTTGTACATACAACACTTAAGAGCAAGGACTACAGCATTTCCTATGAGTCCCCAGGCCACAGGTTACTGCAGAGGGTGCTGGATGGGCTGCTGAGCACAGGGTGCTCACAACCACCACCACGTTCTGAAAGCTCCTGAAATATTAAATATAAATATTTCCACTAGAGGGTGTCAGGGACTCAGCCAGGGAGAGTCCCAGGAGGAGGAGCTCAGAGCTGCTCCCCACTGGCCAGGGCAGCCCTCCTCAGGAAACCTGCACACCCAGCTCCAGCCAAACCCACCTCAAACACACACACACACCAGTAACACACCATCAGTGAGAACTCAGTGAGCTAATTCTGGCTAATTTCAGGACAAGGAACTGGCTTGCAGTCTGCCAGAAAACAGGTAGGGAGCAGAGACTGGAGTTCCCAGGTGTGCACTTGGTGCACACCTTTTCTCCAACACACTGTTCTCCAAGCCTACAGGCTTGCAGCAGCTGCCAGTGCCATGCTGAACTCTGCCCACACACACAAGGATGATCCAGGTGTCTCTCTTTTCCCCAGGCTGGCTCTGGTTCATCCTTGGGTCTCCAAAACCCCAAACATCTCCAAGGGGTAGGTTATGAAAGCTTTTATGAGCCAACACAAAGCAGAGATCAATGTCTTCTCTACTCCCAGGCAAGGCAGCAAACCTGCCTGACAGTCCCATTCCTTGCTAAGAGATGCAGGAGGAGCATCAGGCTGGGAGCCAGAGGCTGGTGAAACAATGCTGTGAAAATCACTTAGCACCACAGCAGCCTTACACTTCAGGCTCTTCAGGAGTAAAACAACTTAGATAGGCTACCCAATACAGCTGGAGCACCTCAGGGCCACTGCAGAACAAGCAAAACCCAGCAATCTCATCTTCCCTTGGATTTCCTTATAGCTTTTACCCACTGATACACTTTAGAGACACTCTGGAGCTACCCAGTGCCCCCAGCTGCCTGCTTCATGCCACCTGGACAGCTAAGCTTACCAAGTATCAGGTGTGAACTGCTTAGGAAGAACACACACATACATTCCCTACCCATAAGAAGCTGTTTCTGGCTAAGACATAAACCCTGGATTTTGCAGGGAATTAGTGCAAAACATATGTTTCTATCTGCCCCACAACATCTTGTTGCCCCATAGGGATCACAGCTCAGCACCAACAAACCTTCCAAAGCCCTCCAGCTGTGTCTGCAAGACAGAAACAAGATGCCCAAAGCAATGCCAGAGCTACCCTGCTGAAGCCAGAGGAGAGCACTGGGAGGCACCTGAATGGCAGTGAGGGTGGGAATATGAGGAACAGGAGCACAGCACTTTGTTACCAGACTCTGCCAAATCTGCTAATCCTTCTGTGGCCACCCCAAGGAAGGAGGGA